TAAAAATTACATTCATTTGTGATTAATTATAAATAAACTTGCGTAAGATTTAAGTACAAATTTAAATCATTTACATTATTAAAATTATATTTATTTATTCTAAGTATTCTATATAATTTTATTAAAATTKAAATAGAACATTTCTGAATGAAATTTTCTGAAATGAAGTTATAGTTGCGATAGTTGTTGTTTTTATTTATTTATTTACAATGAGTCAATGAAACTGTGTGTAAATGTTACAGTGAAAAATTGTTTTTGTTTCATCAAAACTAAATGCATTACAATGAATTACAAATTATACCACATTATAACTTGTAATTAACAAATACCATTAATATTTAAAAATATTTTCTGGTTTAGGTAMTATTGGTTTGGAACCAATAATATAACTAAATATGATTATTTTGTATAACCAATGTGATGATATATTTTATTCACACTAAAAATGTCTCCTCTCCACTTATATTGAACGTTTATCAGCTGTGTTGCAGTTAATTTTGTGTAAATATTCTGGGTGTTGGAAAACTTGATTTATAAACTAATCACATATATGTATATTATAATTGTTTACTGAATATATAACATTATTTGTATAGATGTCAAATACACCATTTGTGAAAACTCACCTCAATTTTTTGTAATTAGTAGTAATTTACAAYCTCGCAATTATATTATTATTTTATAGTGTAAAACTATATTTAATTTTTACACATAAATTTTAAACGAAATAATATTTATTTTCTCGATATTCTACCGATRTAGTATAATAAATTGAATTAGWTTAAAATATTTACGAGAAAAAATCATGTCATTTTTTAACTATGCAAGTTATTTTTATAGTAGGTAGGGGTAACCTACGTGAATTCGTAAAATGTACAGTAAATCGTAATAACTCTTATATTTATAATAAACTATGAATTTAGGAAATAACAACCTTAAGTGAGGAATTTTTTTCCATTGATCATATTCAGATCGTAACCGGTCGTGACATGTGTCAGAAAAGTCCTCTTCGTTGTGAAGTATACGTGACGCTTCGTCCAGGAAATCTGCGACTTGATAACTATCCTCGGCCTACCAAAAATTCACCGCTAAACGATCATGTTGTAACGTTTAAAATGTATTTATTGACGCATATATACATACATCTAACCACGAAGCAGTTGAATCCTCTGGTGTCGGTAACGTCATGGAACTATAATTGTCAGCAACATTTTTGGCGCTAAATTAAAAATATAAACACTGTTTTATGGAACAAGTTCAAGTGTGGTAAGAAACGTGTATCGCAGTATAAGTAGCAATTATTTTCATTCAATATTTTTTTTTTCACCAACATAATTTTCGTCATAATATGTTCAAACTTGGCAGCTGATAATATTATGACGTAATGAGCATATATGATCACTACAGTGGACGCTAGACTAGAGGAAGACCTACCAGCTGAAATCCGGCGTTGTGGAAAATGTTGACTCTACGGCGTTTCGCTTGTTAATCAAATTGTACGCCACCGACAAATCGTGTGACRTACGGACATCGCATCGTTTCTTCCGGTTCGTCACCGTCATGGTTTTCGCGGTTGTTATCTTGTCGGATTATTCCCTCGGGAATAAAATTGTATGGCATCGTTTTACGGCACGGAGTCGTGGGTCATGAAAATTAAAGTTGAATCGATACATCCACTGCCTAGGCGACTAATGTACAAACTCACAACGACCAGCGTAGTAGCGTGCGTATATGCAACGGGGCGCACCAGGCGGCTAGAGAAAAATAATCGATGTCTCATGAAACATTAAAGAAAACAATTATTATAATCGATTTTTTGCCCAACAAAGATCGGCTTCATAATCACGTCCATGAATTTTATTATTAAAATAAGTGAGCAAGAACGTCGTATGATCAGCAACTTTTAATAGTAAATATTGTATTTAATCATACTGCCAGCAGAGTTCGGAATTGGATTTAGTAACTTAACAAAAGCAATTGCGAATTTAC